GCAAAAACCTACAGGTGACACCCTGCTACAGGTGTGATGTTCTTCATTCAGAAAAAGAAATTCGGATCCAGTGACAATGGAGCGTTGTGCTGTGTCAGAGGAAAGGTGGAGCTGGGCTGAAAGACTGCACATCTGCAGGGCTCACAACCTCTTGGCAGGGGTATCCAGAGTTAAAACTCAAAATAAGGATGGTACTAAAGACCACTGCAGACACACACGTGCTCCAGTGACTTCTCCATGCGTGTATCCCAGCTGCATTAGGCTTTTCTCACTTAACACATGTCCAGGCTGAGGCTGTGTCTACACTAGAGCTTTAGCTCCAGTTAATTGATTGCCAAGTAACTCCAGGTAGCTTGTATGTTTGTAAAAGCCAGCTAGGACATGCCCCGCACCTTTCTCAGGCAATAAATGGCTTGGGGATGCCTGTACTAGCCTTTGCAAACGGGTTTACTGTTTGAAGTTAACTGACCAGGACCAGGCCATTGAAGTTAGTGCCCAGGCAGTAGACAGATTAAGAACTAATTAGCTGCCAGGTTCCTTGTCATTAAGCCTCTTGTAGCAAGCATGCGGAGGCTAAGGTCTGGAGCTGCCTTGCATGGGTTTAGCCCCTGTGTCTTTACTGGCCTGCATGGTAAAAAGCCATTTTCAGTTGAAGATGCTACATTCAGGCCAGGAGGGAAGGTGCTTCCTCCCCATGCTGGGACAATCGAGACTTGCTTGTCCTGCTGAACTCACGTGTGGCTGCTGCAACAAGGTACTTACCGCCCCAGTGCACAGGGCCCCTACATGCCTCTAGCTTCTGCCTTGATGGAAAACACTGGAAAGGCGATGGTCGTAACAGGGAGCCTCCTCTGCCCTCACCTGTGGGCCTTTGAGCCCCGAGAAATGGACGTAAGCAGCATCCAGCAGACTCCAACCATGGGTCCTGTGGGGAACTGCTGTGAACACCTGTCATTCTCCGTGCCTCTCACAGGAAGGCAAAGGTGCCACAGCCCCTTCCCACCAGGCTGGCTGTCCACAGGCCATAAACCCCATGGGAACCTGCAGCAGCCTTGGTGCCTCTCAACACAAGGCCTGGCATGAGGAGCAGGGCCAGCGTGTGCACGCAGCAAGCATCATTGTGGTGGTCCCGGGTGGGGAAAGGGGGCCTTTCATTGCAGTGAAATCCAAGGGATACCTCTGAGCAGCATAAATCCTCCCATTCCCTTGCCAGCTGCAGGGGTGAAGCAGTAGAAAAACAGGGCCCAGCCCCTGCAGAGCACTCATAAACTTAGTCCCCTTTAAACAGAGCAGCTGTATTCCAGACTTACAACAGCCAACTTCCAAAGGGGGAAGAGGTGGGGCAGGGGAGCCGTAGCAGGCAGACCTGCAGTGCAGCACATGGCTGACGTGTGATTATGCAGCACAGATCCAGTCCCAGAGAAAGGATGGGATGAGACAGGACATGACACACCATGGGGACCGGGAAGGCACAAGAGGTACAGCCAGGAGGAGGCTTGTGGTGAGCGGGCAGAGCTGGCGACAGGAGGGGAGGCTGGAGTGGAGTGGACTGGCAGAGCAGGGTCTAACCCTGGACCCCGAGTGCAGCAGGGAGCTCTCCGACCTTTCGTTAGGTTTAAATGCCCCACTCTGAAGTGTTACCAGCACAATTCCTGGTCGGGAGCTTTACTCTAAACACCCCCAGGAATTTCTGTGTCTAGCCTGGCTCTGCCGCCCTCGCCATCTGCATCTCAGTCCATCTTCCTGGAGGGAAAAGGACCGTCACTATTTATATCTCTGCACTGACACAGATACGGACCTCCAGCTCAGAATCTCAGCTTGAAGCCCGGACCGTGAATCTGAGCTGAGCCCAGAAGCCAACATTTAAGCACCCGTCCTTCTCCGGGTTGTCACGAGTGTCTATTCTTAACCAAATGTTTAAAATTCACATTTTCCAGCATATGGGAATGAAAGGTTTTGTCAGAAGAATTCAATCCAGCGTCTCATTTGCATGATGTTACTAACTCCAAAATAAACTTGAGTCAGTCAGTGGTGGGATGGATCAGACATGCCCAAGGACCCTCTAGTGCCCCCCAACACTGAAGCAGGTGATGTGATGCAGCAGCTGATTTCTATTTCAGCATCCATCCAAAGGCCTTTCCATCTCCCTCAGCCAGCTCAGCACTCGAGCCTCTGGCGAGTCTGCAATCGCGCACACATTTGTGCAGCACGGCTGAGGAAGTGAGGTGGGACATCTCCCCTCACCCTCCTCACAGCAGCAGAACAAAAGCCCCTCACTCTCAGAACCTGCAACATGCCGCAGACGGTGAGACCCCGACCTTTCAAACAGGATCAAGGCCCCAGCGGAGCCTGGTGATACCCACCATGCGGGATCTGGCATAAAAGGCCAGCTCCAAAGGCCACAGAAGCCAGTGGAAAGGTTTCTACCGTTTTCATGGGCTTTTTCCCTTCCACTTGCAAAGCACCAGGCCTTTTGGGTCTCCATGAAAACTGCAGGAGGCAAGAATAAAGACATTTTAGTAAACTTGCAAACACCCCCACTGGCTCCCCAACCTTTTGCCCTGGCAAAGCGCAATCTTCTCACTTCCAAAAATCCTGCCAGTCATCTTTCCCATCTCTCAGGCTCCCATCAGAAATTGCAGAGGCATAAAGAACAACCAGGATTTTATTGATTTGAAAATACATTTAACCATAGAGAATATAGTTTTAGTATTTCTTTCTGAACAACAGTAAGGAACAATTTACATTAAAAAAAAAACAAACCAAAGCATGAGTAAAGTAATATCAAACAGATATTATACCATTGTGTGGACTTCCAGTAGGCTAAGAAGGACATTTAGCAGCACTTCTACAAATGTTGTAATAAAAGCAACAATACGAGTTCAATCTCATATAGACAATTCCCAGAGACCAAAATGGCATCCTATGTATAAACGCAGCAATTCATTGTAGGGCAACAGAAGGTCTAACACCCATCCATAAAATACATTCATCACCCCGCTCTTCTCCCTTATCCCACAGAGCCTTCTGCCAAGATGCAAGTAATTTCCTTGATCCTTGTAACAGGGCTACAGTCTAAAGTTTCCCCCGCACCCCGACTGAACAAAAGCTAACATGGGGCTATATATATGGTTTCAAATGATAAGAGCTGCCAACTGTGGGTCCAGCGTTAAGGACGAGTCTTATTTTATGCACCAGAGAGGGGTCAGACCTCTTTTATGTAAATACAGATTTCTCCTTCCCAAGCTCCCAGTATTTCCTCTCTGAGAACAGAATTTACAAGTAGATCTGTTAATCTAGAAGTAAAAATTATTTATTTTTAAAAAATAGAACCATAAGAAATATAGTATCTCGTGTCAGACCTTTTTATTTATTTTTCTCCTTTTATTGTAGGAATGGAACAACGCAGGCTCTTCAAACTCCCCGCAGTCTTAGAGCTGGCTGAAATCTTGTGCATAGACTAGATTTAAGGGCTTTTAATCTATTTCTTTTTTTAAAAAGAAAAAGTAAGACGTGGTCATTTCAGGCTATTGCTGGAAATTTTTCTATGAGCAAGGGCTGAAGAATACCGTCTACTCCAGAGACTTCCACGTAAAGCTGTCTTTTTCAAAGCAAGTACCTCTTGCCTTCTCATACGGTTCCTAACGGGACTGAGTTTGCAGCTTGCCCTTCGCAAAGCCACGGTCTCCATTGGCCAAGGTCCTCTTCTCTGCCTCCTGAAGGCACGGGAGGCTTCGGTCTGTGCCTAGGGGCAAGAGGGCTCCCTTGCACGTGGCCACAACGAGAGGCGGTGGCCATCTGAAAAGCGGGCAGTTGCAGCGTCTTTCTGAACAGAATTTCAGTTCCCAGCCTCTGTTGGGGGGGAAACTTTCAATTTCATTTCCCCTCAGCCCCTCCTGGAAGCAACACCCCTCCCCTTCCAAAGCGACTATCCTAAATACTTCTCGTCCAAGAAGCAACCACCTCTTACAGCAGATCAACTCAACAGGGAGGACAGGAAGGGTGGGGGATACCAGGAGCCTGTGCATGCACGCGAGTGCATGCACAGGGGCACATGCACAGGGAAGGCGAGGTGCCAGCTGGCTACTCTGTGCCATTCTGGCCATGTGAAACAGCTGCAAATGCCACTGCACTGACCAGCACCTTCTGGCTACCTGGTGCTGGCTAGAGCTTTGGAGCAGCCCCAGAAGAGGAGTCTGGCCCCACAAGTCTGAACCAATATTTAAAAAAAGAGCGCAGAGTTGACAGCTCATTTCCTCTAGCCATTAGAAGCAGCGCTAGCTGCTTGCACCAGCTGTCCCTTTGGGTCTCCTGCTCAGGGCTAATTTATGGAAGTAACAATAATAATAATAATAAAAAAGAAACTTCTCGGACAAAACCTGTTAGAATGGAATTTGGTCCAAGAGGACTTACCGCTGGCGTAGGGCGACATGCCTCGAGAGGATGGTGTGACAATTGCACAAACTACCTTATTCAGAGGTAGGGATAAGCTTAAAAGGAAACCAAATGGGCTGTACTGCAGAACTGCATAGTGAAGGCCCTCAGATGACCTTAACTCTGCCCTGAAGTAACAGCATGAAAAAAATTAATATAATGCATCTAATCTGGGGCCGCAAAGACTCAGATGTCTCAATGATTAATTGACGTTCATTACATGGAGTGACATGGTGTAGATTATGTGGGTGCCCTCACTAGAGACACAGAAAAGGCAAGATTCAAAAGAGTGCAATAGAGGGGACTTGAGAGAGGTTTGATTGTTCTACGTGCAAACAGCTGAATTCCCCGCTTTGGGGGGTTATTTCTTATTTCTAACAACAGTTCTGAAACGTCCATGTTGCGGGAAAACTGGCACTTCATAAAAAATAAAATTGTGCTCTTTCAATATCTGAGCCACAGGGATTACCAAAGATTCCCTTCTCCTGTACATCTGTCAAACACAGTATATGTACATCCGTCTTTCTCCCCACCATCTCACTAGTTGACCTGGCTCAGGACTATGGCTGCCTGAACAATACAGGACTGCAAAGCAGCAACTGCTGTGCACACGGTCAGACCACTTTCTCTGTGTGCTTGTGTACATAAGAAAAAAGTTTTACGTCACGGCTGTGACAAGGGTACTGGGATTTGAACCACGCATCCTGGACGGCTCGCTATGCCAGCAGAGGGGGCAAGGAGTGAAAACCAAGTCCACAAGAAGGACAATACAGTTAAAAAAAAAAGCCATAAGAAAGTCAAGGTACAGTATGAATGAACTTCACTCCTGGCCAGAGACCCAGTGCAAAGCCCAGGCACCTCTGATGTGGGACTTAAGTGGGCTACCTTGGCCCTCTGCCCTTGGGTAGGTTTCACCAGAACCAAGCTGAAATGATGCCGTCTACACTACAACATCAGGAGCAATCACTTCCCCTGGCGTGGTTTTAAATTCCTGGTAGAAAATGATAGCTAACACCTGTGCTGCAATAAACACTAACATTTAGGTACTAAAAGACAGTTTAAAAAAACATAGTAACAGTACGGCATGCACAGGTTTCCAATGCAATCTTGGTCTGATGAAGAAAAATCTCAATCTATATGAGCAAGGTTTATAGAAAGGCGATCCAGAGACTCAACACAGTTCAAAGGAAAAGCTGTCTCCTATAAAAGACACAATCAGGAACAAAGACCACTTCCAAAATGCTCACATTAGTAACGCCAGAAAAAGATGGGTATCAAGATTCGTTTGGTGGGTGGCATCCACAGAAAGCTCAAGTACAGGCAGAAGCCATTAGCAACCCCCGAAGGAAAGGAAGAGGCTGGGATTTGGTTTGAAAGCCGAGTGGACTGTACACTGAGCAAGCTGAGCTGCGTGCTGAGCCACTCCAGCTGCAGGGGTGCCAGGCAAAACCTATCTGCCTCTTTGCAAAGAAGTCAACACAAGAGTTAACACGAGACCCCATGGGGCTTGTCCTGGCTTGACGCAGGATAAGTTTCAGCCATGTGGTATTGTGGGAAAGAAATCGCAACTCCTTTTCCCATATCACGATCCTCGTGTCTACCACGGTCCCTGGCCAAGGGTTCTAGCTCAGTCCCAACCCATCTGCCGGCACAGTTGCACCAAGAGGTCTGAACAACTGTATATCAATGATATAGCTCCATTCTCCTCTCTGAATACCCCAGGGGGTGGCTTCTGAATTTGAGGGCCAGGAGGGCAGAGATGTACAAGCAGGTAGAAAGGGCTGAGGAGAAGGTAGAGATGTGACAGGGAAACTAGCAGGATCTGTACCTGCCCCTCTGCACCACTCTAAAATCCAGGCATAGCCTTAGCCAGTGCTGCCAACTCTCATGATTTTTGGCATTGTTCTTAAAGTCTATGTTTCGGGAATGGGAAAAACTTAGCTCTTTCTTTCAGCTATCTATATAAACAGAGATAAAAGAAAGCTAAGTTCTTCACATTCCTGAAGCGTAGACTTTAAGAATGCCAAAAATCATGAGAGTTGGCAGCACTGCTTACTAGTCCTTCCTACCCCATACACGTTGGCATCATGAGCCTCTGCAGCTGCTTTCACTCACTAAACAAACTGGCCAGCTCTTTGCACAGAAGCACGATGGCTACTGCGCTCAATCCTCCACTCAAAGTTACCCAAGGAGAACCACTATGCCTGGGACCATGCCTGGGGAGCTGAGCTAGGACCAAAAAAATGCCACAACTGCAGCCTGTCACAACAATCAAATATGCACGACCTGCTGGCTGCAGCCCACGGGGCTCAGAGGCCCAACGAGGCGCCCCAGCAAGAAATGCAGATGATAAGCTCAGCCACCAGTGCAAGACGTCCCAGGGAACACACTGTGCTTCCAGATACACATGCATAGATGCCGCTGAGTGTGCAACACCAGGATTCGTTCTACCTCACCTGTACCAGGAGGCACCAGCTCACCCCCGCGCTGCAGTTGGCATGCAGCACTCAGTGGAGTCGTGGTAATCAGAGACTCACATTCATCCCCTGGGCTTTCCTCACAGATACATTTCACACTCATTTCTTCCCTGGATCCACCTCTGATCAGCTGAGCTTTCCAGCAGAGCAATCTGGAGACAGCTTTTTCCAGTTAAATCTCCACTTAAATTCCCCAGAGGATCAAATCTGCTACAAGAAAGTCCTGATGCTACACTGATTGCTCCACCAAGCTGACTAGGACTCTAGCTATCAGGAGTGAATGTGGAATCGTAGCCGTGGCAGATCATGGCTCAAGCCCATCGCTTCTTCCTTTCCCTTCCACGGGTTTTAAAAAAATCAGAGTTGAAACAAGCAAAGCCGAGGTTGCCAATAATCTTTACCTGCACTGAGCTTCTCATGGCTGCAAATGGACAATTTTCACAGTACAAGGAAGAGAGACAGATTGGCACATCATTGAGTAGGTGCTATAGAGAACCACACAGACCTTAGAAGCATAAGGTTTCTTTTTTTTTTCCCCTCAAAAAAATACCCCACTTGATTCACATATTTTTCTCTATATATATTGTGTGTGTGTGCTTATATATATTTTTATATATATATATAGACACGATCTTCTGGTAAACATTTACAAGATATGTTTGCAACATTGAAAAGATATATCTCCATTTGCATAACAATTCACACTCACTGAATTCAGTATACAAGGACACACAGTAATGTACAGTCAATAAATAAATACCTTTTCTCAGAAGTTATTCAAAAACACTGCTATTGAAGGGCCCAAAGACACTTGCAGAGAATACAGATAGCAGATATTGTGCAGGATTTCTCAGCTATCTGTCCAAAATAAAATAAAAGCATGAAAGCTAAAGTGTCAGAGTTGTTGCTTGGTCAGATGCAGTATTGATGCCTAGCTAAAGGTCACCGTTCCTTTGCTTGGCTATAAAAGAGGGCGTTGTTCACAACCCTCCCCTTTCGAACAAGGCCATTCAATGTGCTTGTTCCCCCTATCTACCCTCTGAAGAGCTACGTGGCCTATGCCCAGAAGTAGGTCGTCAGCGTAGGCCTGGGGTCTGCTCGCTGCTTGACCAAAGCTCGAAAGATTCCCAGGTGAACCTGAAGGTTTAAAGCTCAAATTCTTTTGATTCCTAGTCACCAGTTTCACATGCTACTGCAGGCCAGGCTTGTTTTCCCCTGGCAAATTAAGTGCTTTTTGGAGATCTAACACAGGAAATTGCTTCCAACGGGTTTCCTAGCTGGAGCAAATAAAGTACACAGGGCTCACAGCAGATGGAAGCCAGAAGACTTCCTCTGTGCCTATCACCCACTGTATTCTGCTCCAGAAAAATGCTTCAGCAGGCATGGACCTCTCCTGTTGGGTGGACCTC